GTATAATTAGGGCATTTATCGGAACTTATAAATGGCTTAAAAGCTGTCAGTAATTAGCATTATTACCGTTGAAAATTCCCATCACTTACTAAAAAACTTTTCAGTTAACACCTTGTCAAATTGAGATATAACCGACGTCATATAACTGTTACTTAATATTTGTTTATAACCGACAGTATAATGCGTTTGTAATAATAAAAATCGTCAGAAAAAATATTACGGTTGCTAGCGACGACATGTCATGTAGTTATACCGTTACAAATAACTCAGCTCATAAACCTTCCTTACGCCATCGTAGAATAGAGCAATTTTTCAAACGTGTATGTTGGTCGTCGTTTTTAGCAGTTTTTCCAGCCGTCTAAGCTTTCTACAATAACCAACATTTTGTAAAAATCAAATCGAGAAATATGTTTTAAATCTTAATATCATTCTAGAGATAAAGACTTCAAATAATGATATAGCCAATGGTAAAATTCACAATCCCATGTACAATACATTTCAAGTTCCTTTTTCATGAAGAGAAGAGAGAGAACAGCATTATTTTAAAAAGAGGTTTATATTTACTTATTCAAAGCCCCCAGTAATACGTTTCCACCAAGAGAAGTTGCTTTATTTCTATATGTCGAAGAATAGGGAAAACGGGGATAGGAATGTCTTTTAACACTATATAGAGAGAGAGAGAGAGAGGTTCAAGCTTATATTTAATTATGATAAATTTTGTAGCTAGCTAATTTATTTTGAAAAAAATGTAAATTAAATTTTGATTGATTAGTGTACATCAAAAGTGTACCAGCACTAATCTCGAGGGAATCTATCTGTCTAGAAGGAAAAAAGTAAGACAAAGGATGGCTGCCTATAGAAGACTAGGAGACTCTCTTATCCCATCAAGTGTAGTCGTGCGAGCTAAAGCCGGAGACCAATCGAACCAAGGGAAGGACAAAACGGCAACTGATCGATCTGAATACAAACTAATCAGACTAAAATAAGACAGATAAACATCAGAGCTAACCACTATAAGAAAACTGACTAAAGACAACAACTTACCTTCCTATAGATCCGACATGAGAAAAGGCCTATTTTCTCAATATCATTAGTCATCCTACAGACGCCCATGAGGCCTCTCATAAGGGACCAATAATTGATGATACAACAATCTTATATTCACCCCACAAGTTTTCCTTATTGAGGAATAAACTATCTATTAGGTTATGGTGATTCACCTTCTGTTCAATAGTCTATTATTGCTCCACTGGTAGAAACTCCTCATATAGGAATTGAGGGTTAACAACCATACTAGATTAACCAAATGACACAGTCGATTGAACCTCTCTCGCCGAGCCGAGGCCAAACAAGCT